CTCTCGAATTTTTCTCACTATATTGTTCCCCCCCCCCCCTCTGTGAAGCCCGAAGTCAGCTAAAGGGCTAATGATGACTATCAATATGCCTGCCATTTGAAATAAATAAATATTTTGTTATAAAAAATGGAATAATAAGCAAAACCTTTGAATGATATAACTATGAGTTAGTTTTAAAAAATTCTGGCGGTCCACCATATGCAATTAGCTGCGGCGCTGGAGAATTAAAAGCCATCAATAATTGGTAAATAAAATGACCGCGGATTCAAAAATAGAAATAAATATCATTCACTAGTCAAGATAAGATCATTAGATACCAAAATATTATCTTCCTTGTGCAAAGTTATTGCCTTCGTTAATTAAAGAACTGAGAAATTATTAATAGAAATTTCTATCTCTTCTAATTTCTTGATAATACACACTTGTATGTTTACGACTGCCGCAAAATCCTTTGATTATCCCTCTTTTAAAAGGCTACCAACAACAAACTTTAAAAGCCATAAGTTACTAAGCAACAGGGAAATATCACAAAAAAACATCACAAAGCATCTAAGATAAGGAAAACGGAGATTCCGACAGTCGAAGCTATTTGAAGAAATACTCATTAATTTTCCGTGTGAACTTTGTTGCAAAGACTTATTTTTCCACAGAGTTTGCACTTTAAACCCGAAGAGAACGTAAAACATTCCATAAAAAACATAATTGTTGTTGGAGTAAAATTTTAAGTTATACGGAAAAAGGCTATAACTTCTCGTAACACACAGAAGGTGAAGGTTTCAAATGTCTCAACAACTACCCGATTAATTTTTCAAGGCTTCAATCAATGAAGTATTTACGTGCCTTTCTCTAATTGGAGGCCTTTGTAATGCTAATCCATCCATTTCATTCCTACCTCAAAAGGTGCTAGAGCTTATAAATCCAATGAATTCCATACATTGATTCCACATAAATGGAAACGACCCCGCTGATTTTATCATTACCATCTAGTTGCCAGAGTGGTTCACTCAATTAAATTGACTCTGATTACAGTGGAAAAGGTCTCACCAGTAATGTGAGTGACAAAGCATTTTATAAGTTACAAATGGTCCGCAACAATTATTCGAAGTAAACTGACTAAATGTTTCAGGATCAAAGCTATATTTGGTTCATTACAATTCTTAAAGATACTAACTACATTGTATTCTCCCCCCTTTCCCATTGTTTCTTACCTTATTTCACAAATTGGTGGAACATGAAGAAGTCTTTTAAATTTTTTTAGCAGAAATACCTACTTAATATGGTACATTTAGATATATATTGTTTTTCTTCGGAACTCAAGAAAAGAACTCAGTAAAAAGTTTTCCTGGCACAGATTTGTGCAAATATAACGAATAATGAAAAATTTGGCACTGTAATCCGATCTAAACTTTGAGTTAATCTCAATCCCAAAACCATTAGACTGTGCAGGAAATTCATTGTTCAATTATTAAAATTATTATTAAATATTGAGGCATAAATGTACATCACAATAGGCATCAAAGTATGATCGACATTTAAGAAGAACTGACTAAGTGTTTAAATGATGAAAAGGAAATTACCTTTGTAAAATTTTATTGGTCTGTTGTTTAATAGAATTTCAAAAAGATTATTCAATTCTGGATAATTGGTATTTTTAATTAGAAAATGCGTGTGGTCCTAGTTACTTTAATTAGTTAAGTGTAACTTTCTTTTATCTGAGAGATCAATAAGCTATAAATTTACTAATGGTATAAATAGATGACTAATTAGACATTCCCCTAGATATTTACCTTGTATATAGTGTTAGCTTTGCAATAATACGGAATTACTTGTTGCTTAAACACTAAAAATCGCACCACTATTGCATTTCCTATAATAACTTATCAAATTTTTAAGTTAAAACAACGCCTAATAGAGCGTTATTGAATGATCAAAACAATAGCTAGACATCATTTACATATCTCAGAATATGACGAGCACTTTTTTTAATAAAATCCCTGATCTCTGTTCGTTGTAGCAAATAAGTCAATCCTTGTGATATCAGGTCGGAGTTACGGCGTAAGGCGTTTGAAGAGTAGATTCACCATTTTCCATATTTCTCCTCATCACATAGCGAGCAACTACTGCTAATTTTAATATATCTGGGTGAATTAGGGTTGCATATTTATTTGTTAAGAGTGTATATGTATTTGTACATCCATGCTTGCAGGTATGTATGCATATATGCATGTATGTATGAAATCTTCTTCCCATGCAGAGGTATTGAGCTTATAGATATCAGAATTTCATTACTTCAATATATGAATAGAGCTTAATGATGACTTACTGCACTCCTTTCTAACAGATGGACACGACCTTCGACAAAATAGACGATTTCTGGCGTCTGCGTTGCAGCCTCTTTCACATTGCTCCATTTCGTCGTCGCAGACACCAACTGTAAAAAGGAAATGCTTTCAGAAAATTTAATGCGAGATATCCACCAGAAACGTAGATATTTTGGCCGATCGGGTAAATTATTTATTTTTTTAATAATTCTTTTACTCTGCTAACATTGGTTCTCTCGGAAATCTAAAAGTGAAATTTGAACTTTAGTTAAGAGTCTAGTTAAAGAAAAAGATGCGATTGTAAACAACTTTCTAAAGCTTCGTATGATTGACTTGACATCATGTCATTAATTTCCATTTCAATTCAAATCCCTTTGGATAAAGTGCATATGATTGATTGATATTCTCCCTCTCTCGCTACGCACTTTAAAATAATAAAGTAATAAATGGAAGCAGATTGAAGGAAAATAACAATAATAATAAGCCAACTGTGAGCCTTTCAGTTAATTTAGACATATTTCCCAGCATTATATCATTAATATTATTGGTGGGCAAATGCTGCGAAGCATTGTGTACCTCAAAATTACTAGATGCTTAACGATTTATATATTAAAAAATTTGATTTATTTTATCTTAGACGTTTCATTTTAATTTCCAAATTTAGAAATAGAATCTGGCACAACTGTAACCATTCCTTAATCTTATTTGCTTTTGTGAGTTAGGGGTTTTCGATTCAATTCAATCTGTGTTAAACATTTTCTTATTTACGTTAAATGAACAATTGATTTACACTATGGCGTTTTAAGCAAATTTAGGAGAAAAAAACAGACTTTTACAAACAAATTTGCTTTCGGCAAATAGGGCCAAGTAAAACTAAGTTCACATTCTGTTTGAAATAATAATTAAAATACTAAGCAAAAAGACACTTTGCTTCCAACCGCCCAAAAGATGCAAACAATTTTCTAGTTTATTCATTTATAACTATATTTGGTTTTGTGCAAAATGATGTGAAAAAATGCATGACGCCGTTTGTGATAATTGAAATCGTTTAGAAAGTTAAAAAATTCACGTGTTATTAAACGGCACTTGTTAGTAACTTTATCAAAAACAGTGATTCATTAAAAGACAAAAATCTCCCTTCGATTTGTTAAAAAATTTATACGACCAGAACGAAATAGATTACTTGAGATCGTTTTTCAAACATAAATTTACAAAGCTTAAGTCATTCACTAATTACTGCTAAATTATTAAAAAAGATCATCCGTGCTCTAAGCGTTTCCAGATCAATAAAGCAAAACAACAGGTTGTGTTAATTTAGAAAAAAAATATTCAAAATTTCCCTTGTTTCCATAAACAGCAGTAATTAATACATAAATTAGTTGTTTTCATTAATAAAACTATCTTGTTTTATTTATGGTTGTTCTAATTCTGATAAAAGTATTTGATCAAGTATTTTTATAATCAATTGTACTTATATAGTAGATGCTAAAAAATGCAGAATGGAAAACTCTAAAAATTATGTGGTCTTACAAGCTCCACGGATCACAACTTCGTAGATTGTTAGAGGTGACGTCTTTATGGTTGTGTCCAAAAACTCCAGCTCATGAAGGAATTCCGGATATAATCTTCTAGCGGCATCTTTGGTGGTTTCAGGAATTGGTCGGAAAATTCCCAGACCAAGAGAAATCTTCGAGAAACTTCCATACTCATTGTTTGCCCGGTCAACTTGCGATGGTTGGTCATTGTAAAACTTTACGAAAATACGTTTATCAAGAAACTATTTCTGTTGGAGAAATAACTTTATAATTCTTTGGTTTATTTATACAAATATTTTAGTTTCAATATTAAGAATTCACGAACGAAAGTTTGCATAATTGATGAAACCGATAATTGAATCAAAATTTTTTACCAAATATTTTCGCATTATTATTGGACTTAATAAAGCTTTTTTTGTGTTTTCAGATTTGAAAATTAACTGTACGAGGGAATAACACAAATTTGCATTATTATAATGAAAGTGTAACACAGTTTACTATTAACTAGGTATATAATAGTGTCAATTGTTGGCCCATACTCCAATACTAGTGATAAGAATATATAAAGTCGAATTTTAATTTATCAAAAGAGACGTTAGTCAGTATCTATAGATATCATAATCCCTCACCCCCCGCTTTATATGACTCAATAACTAATCTACTCTATTAATATTGTCTAATGACTGATGTGCATATATTTTGTCGACCCTACTTTGCTTTGTTTTACTTTTTTAAAGTCAACTCTATTCTTACCATGCTTACTGCAATGTATTCATTGGGATTCTTTTCCTTCACAAGAATCGCAAACAGACCCCCGATTTCTGTCCATTGAACAAAACACGAAAATCGGCTCACTAAAGAAAAAAAACGTTAAATTGGTTAAAATCGAAAAAGTATAGTAATATCAAAACAATTCTCTCCCTTGATTCGTGTGAATAATTAAAATTTGCACATTCGCAAGAAGTTAAAAATTCTTTTCATATCTGGTTACCATCTTAATTAATAGATAAATGGTAAAGGGCCTCAAACAATAGCAGTGTGAACTATTAATTAATATGCTGCTTTTGTGGCAAATATATACTTGATAAATTCTGAAAAACAAACTTTTAATGCACTTTTAACAGTACTTAAAATATACCAAATAAAACGCCATCAAGTCTGTTGAATATAAATGCATTAGCATATTGACTCACATCGTATAAACTACTATGTTGAATCTCAAAATCAAGCATAAATACGAGAATAATTCTCTAAATCTTACCACATCGATATGAAAAATTTCCGATCTTCAACGAGTTAGTTATGAATATCTCCAGAAAATAGTAAATGGAAGTGGTTCAACAAGTGCTAAGAGAAAACTCGAGATATCAATTGTCCTACTTAATTTATTAATTGATTTGGCATATACACAATTTTCCATTTAAGAAGCTTAAGTTTCAAATTTCTAGAATCATTTTTAATTTTCATTACTGAGAGAGGTTTTCTTCAACAACAACAACAACAACCAAAGCAGATTGATCTATTTTCAAATCTTGATGATCGACCTCATCAATTTTTTGCATTTTTTAGAGGGTTCATAATGCACGCTTTTAACGCAGCTAAGCTAGAGTAATCCAAGATGTAGGGTTTATTGTCTGTGTTGCCAAAGTTTTATAAATAACAGCTCCTAATTTTAATAATTTCCATGTTGATATCCACCATTTGTAGAGAATTTAGTGTTATCTATTTTATAAAAGAGTAAAATTGCACTTGATTTAGTCCAATTAATCCACATCGCACTAAGACACCTCTAAAGGAAAACAAAAATAAATCTCTTTTGAATGGACCGAGATCTTATCTAAACTGGATCAATTCTCAATAAGCTCAGAATATCATTGTACCACCTAAAATCCCCTAAGTCTCCGTACGTTGAGTTAATTAACAATGCATTCTCTATTGTCCCATTATTTGTCCATTCTATCTCCTCGCATGACTAGTTTTTTTCTTCAGCATTGAAAATTAACTTTAAAATAGTGTTTTTTCTTTCAATAAACCTACTTAATGTTGACTCAAAGGGATTGCAGCTGGGTTCGTTAAAGTGAAATTCAATTCCTTCCCCTCGGATACACTCAGAGTCAATCGTTACATATACCGAGGAATTGCAGATTGGCTGAAGCGTATAAATAAAAATTAGGACAAGCATGATCCTATTAGCCACAAAGGCCTGTTTAAATTTAAAAAAAATTACCCTCTCTGAGTTCAGGTTAATGAAGTTTTTTGCCTGAAATCCACCAACGAGTGGACACATTCTCTGATGATTGCCCGAATCATATTTTGATAAATTAGCTAAAAAGAGATAGAAATACATCAAGAAAATTGTTTGATTTTTCGCAAAATTAAGAAATATCTAAAAAAGTAATTGAGTTGGATTTGCCTAAAATATAGCGTTCCAAGGAAGTTAAACTATGTCACAAATAAAAAAATTATCCTCCGTGAAACATGAAATAGTGGTGGAAAGAAACGAATACTTACGAATCCATACACTTCTGTGAAGATTATTTGAGGTCGAACAATCTGAGGAAGTGGTCATGCTGTCACCTGAATGTTTGGCAAAAATACTTAACTGATTATATGATTATAAAATTGTGAAAATATATTTTAAATTATTTGCCTTGAATGAGTTCAAATACTTCCGGTGCACCAGTTCTGTCGAGATTATAAAATCGCATGCATATGTACAATGATCTAAAGTATAAAAAATGAAATTCATATAAGTGGCTTCGGTGGGTATATCTGCTTACAAATATGAATTACTAAATTATGCCATTCTAAGCAAATAATATATTAAAAGTAATTCTTAATGATTGTTGTAAATTAAGTATTATAAACAGAGGAGAATATTTTGATTTTCGAATATTTGTTGAAGCATTAATTCCATTTTCGCAGTAAATAATTTCAAACTAATTTGCTTCATCGGCCCATGTTTTCTTTCATGATTCGCCGTGCAAATTGCTACTTTTTTGCACAGAACGGCTTTTCCAATTTTTTCCTCTGTACTTTTTGGCCTAATTTGTTGTAGCCCAAAAAATGGCTATCCTCTTAATTTCCTACTGCTATTGCCACTATGATCGAAAATATATTGAAATTAAACTCTTCTCAGGTAAAACATTAGCTAATTACCCAAGTAATACTTGCAAAATCGTTAGATTTGACCTTTACTTGCAATTATCTATCATGCATATCATGCCCTTAAGTGGAATATAAAATGACCTTCAAAATGGGTAGTAAATCAGTAAAATGGAGGTTCACACAGCATTTCTCATTTTTAATGAGCTAAATTTCAATGAAAATGAAATTGGACTACAACTAACTGCTCCCGGCTAAATACGATTTACTTTTCTCTGCAAGAGAAAGAGGAGGCAGCCTCGTTTTTAGCTGCTTTCAATTCAGCTAAAACCCATTTTAATAATACAAATGCTAGAAATAAGAGAACGCATTATTTCATTTTGACATGAGCCACTCATGTAGAAAATAGTAAATTTTTTCATTTAAGATAATTCGAAACAGCACAAATAGTCAATTGGTACCGAAAGCATGCAATTCATACCTGCTATTAGTTAAATGTATTTCAGCTAAATACGTTTCAGTAGCCTTATCAATTAATTGATCACATCGAAGGTCAATATGAATCGCAGGAGCTGTATAATTACTGATACCATGGAGATTACTTTTGAATGGGTAGCGATTGAAAGGGTAATGGCTTGAATTTGTTGAAGAATCAAGCAGGTATGAAAGAATCATTTTTCTTAGATCGCCTCGCACGGTTAGCTGGGCAAAGGGGAAGGAAGAAGAGGCAGAATCTGCACGCAAAACTGGCCCTGACCACCAGATGTTCGTACTTGGGAGTAGTAGAAATTCAGGAAATTGGCAACTCGTTTGAACAGTTGACAGGTAGGCAAGGACAAATGATAGTATCGTCTCTGTAACAGAGCACACTATGGTAACAAAATGAGTAAAAAGCTAAAAAAAGTAGTTGAACTGTTTCAAGATTGGGATGCAAAAAACTAGCTGCAAACTTTGTTAAAATAGTGTCAACCTAATAATTAAACAGTTTTTGAATCAATGAATTTGGTAAATTTGCTTATAGTCGGATATACAATTAAGTATTGAGTTACCTTAATTTACTTGTTGAATCCAATTAAAATAAACCGTACATTTTACCTTAATTTTTTAATTAAATTCGAATTAATATTTCATCAGATGGAAATTTCTAACAGCACTTATTCTAGTAAATTAAATTCATAAATATTTAAACTTATGCATTCAGGATCATTGGTAGTAAAAATGAGAAAATTCGCTCTTCGTTTCTTGACACGTACTTAGGCTAACTCGAACGCAATGTATTTGACTGTGGTCAGAATAACTAAACTTCTTTAAATATTTAGGAAGTAAAACGATTTTAAAGTCACCATACTGTGTGACCGCAAATAAGTGGGTATAATATTAAAAAAATGAATTGCTATATTAAAAAATTATCTACAAATCATATTTTGAACATTAATTACCTAAATTGCATTATATCCGGATAAAGTGATATGAAAATTTTGCAGAGATCAAATAATAGTATGAATGCCAATATGATAAAAATTATCTTACGTAAATAAATTAATAGACGCTGGAAGTAGAGCATCCTGAGTAAATTAGTTTCACCCAACCCTGACCTTCATAGCTTGCTATGATATTTTTAATGTTTCAAAACGGACGTTTGAGCAATGTAGGGAGAGTGTGTATGGGAAGGGGCACATCTTTTCCCTCGTGCTTTAAGTGATATTCATCGTCAGCTCAATTGGCCAATGACATGCATTTGGACAGGACGCGCTCATTGTAAAGAGACGAATGGAATTTTAAAATTTTGCGTTACGTGGTAAACGGATTATTTCTAATAGCTTTTTATTATTTCTCAAAGAACTTTTGAAAACTTTACATATTTTATTGTGAAAAGCCACTGGAAACAGGTAACAGAAAAATTTCAAAAAAACATAGGAGAGATGAACAAAAAGATGATTGTATCTGCAAAAATGTATATGCCATAGAATTATGCCTTAAAATTTACAAAATGAGTGTATTACGATCTCAACTTTATGCTTCACAGTTCACCTCAACAGATTGCAACAAATAATTACTTACCAGTTTTTTAATAAAAAACCGACCGTTGCTACCCTTAACTTCAATTTATTTTGCAATACTTGAGACGGGAAAAAAATATTCGTATTTATTTATGATTGTTTCCTATAATAATTTTATAAAGAAATGTCAAATGACGACTTAATGCAGCATAAATTCTTACACTACGGGGTCAAAGAGGGTAGTATCCAACGATTTTGAGTAAAAATTCTTCATCAAACAACCACGTATATTCAAAATTGATCCTGGCAAGTAACACCTAATTGGAAGCTTCTACCAACTTATTTACTCACTTAGAATGTCATCTCTACTTTGATGGAAAATGAATTTTGGCAACTTTTTAGAGGCTCGGGTCAGTACTTGAGTGCTTATGAATTTGATTGTTGAATTCTTTAACAAGAGTATATAAATTAAGTTAATTTAGATACAATTGAATGAATGAATCTTTGTCCTTCTCAATGTGGCCTATTACCAAGTTCAAGTCCTCTATTTAAATCCATGCTAACGTTGAACGTATTAAATATTTGGAATGGTTAGGAAATAACAGAAATCGCAAAGTGATTCACCATTTATCTTCCATATTCGCATACAAGTACTGAATGATGACTTAATTTAATTCAGAGAATTGGTTTTTGCCTTGATTGGACCGTTGTTTTCTAATCTAACTTCCACAGTATTGTGATCAAGACCACCTTGTCTTTGGTCTTTATGGTCAATAAATGAGCATTCTGCTGCATTTCTTCAAGATATCAAGTCTATATCGCTTTGTTTAGTGGAGTAATTTCTTCTTAAATGCTTTCTCATATTCCTCACATATGGCCACAGCATTTAAAGTCGCAGTTAAAATCATGCATGCAAAGCTGAAACTTAAGTTTTTACCACTCTTAAAACACACTATGGAGGATTATGTAGTACCTGCGCTCGCTGAACCATGTTTTCTATGCCTCCCCATACGTGAACTTTACCTAACTGTTAGGGATATACCTCATTTGCTTTTTAACATATATTCTGAATTGCCCTTGTTCAGTTCTGAGACCTCCACTTCACCCCTCCCCCAACCACCCCCCCCCATTTATTTTACTTCTCCTTCCTATTTCCCTCTCACATTCATTTTGAATTGTCTCATTCCCCTTCCCNTCCCCCCCCCCCCCCCAAACACTTGATTGTTTCATTCTGTTGTTGTCCGTTAGTCTTTGAAGCCATCGAATTTCCAAAGCATTTCGTTGGTGACCTCACTCTCTCCTGGTTATAACCCGTCCCTTTAAGCGGATTCATATCAGAAAAACGTCAATTAAATCCTGCAAATAACGTTTTTTTCAATTATTTTGTTATTTCTCTATTAGCGTTTCAGGTAATTAGAGCGCTCATGGTTATTCGCCTCAGCAATGGGTTCTGAGTAAAATTACACGGACTGTGCATTTTGGTATTTTTTTAGTCAAGATATTGAATTTTGAATTTATGTCGGGGACTAAGTTTTGAAATTTCGTCTGTTTCCTGTAGACCTTAATGTACTATGAACTTGATGACCAAATGAGATCATGCTAAAAATTGCTTACCATTGGTTTATTTTCAGATACGCCTATTTTATTTTAGGTAAGTGAAATGAAAGCAAGTTCTACAAAATGAGTTATTATATTGCTGGATGTAACAGAGAACAGATCTTAGCCAGTGTTATCAGACGATCTGCCCTCCTTAAAGGCCACTGAGACTTGATTTACATTGGGCACTTTCGTCTCTAAAGTCTAGACTGAATAAAAGGATGCCTAGCGACGTATTTCAGGACCTACTTTTGAAATTTTACTTTTGCACGCTTCTTTTATTCTCATCAAATCATCCTTGCTTCGGAACATCACTATAACTACGCAGTGGACACTTTTGATACCACTGAGCGTGTCTACGTATGGAATAAATATGCTACTGCTTTAATCTGACGGAAAAGATACTTTTGATAGAGCATCCCAACTCCGTCATAAGTGTTTCGGAATCAGTGTCCGTTTGTTGCGTTTTGAATGGAGCAAG